AAGATAGAAGCGGGTCGTATCCACGCTCTCTGCTAAAGCAAGCTCTTCAGTACCCCGATCGCAATGATGAAGTGGGAGGGTGTCTCACGCAATAGCTCCTATCTCCTTATCGGTAGGTAGCTCCATTACAAACAACCAGCCACGCAATTGCTTAATCCAGCCCGTCCACTTGTTTGTACTGGGCGGCGCCATCTGAATGACGCGTTGGGCGCGCGTCAAAAACCAGGCGCATGGCTGCAAGGCAAGCGCGTTGCTATCTGATAGAGCCCAGCATAGCTCCAGGCGACGAGAGCCTTCGTCGAGAGGGTACACTGAGGCGCCGTGATCGTCAAATATGAAGTAGTGATCGGGAGTCGAGGTGAGTTGGAGAGCAGTTGGGAGCCTTTGAGAGAGGCGGTGAAGGAGGAAGTAAAACAAGAACATTGTTTTGCCTAGACAATGAGTCCAACCCCAGAGGGCATACAGTCAGTGTTCATATGTTTACATGGGTATCAAGAGCCATACCGCATCCAGGCTGTCCAGTCACTGCCATGGCTTTTATGTTCCGAGCATGCCCGTTCATTAAGAACTCGACGAGCAGGTCATAGTCAGCCAACACGACGAGCACATCCGAGTTCGAGTCACCGATGTCGACGTTCGAGATGGGGTGGAAGGCCCGTACAAGCGAGTTTATGTCGGTGAGGCAGTCATATTCGTACTCGTAGGTTTCTGTTTGGACAGCATAGGGTCTCCCCTTGAGCTCGGTATACGTGCTTGGTTCCTTGAGAGTATTTATCTGACGCGAGTCGCTGTCGCTTGGCTGATGCTTCAAAGGGGCAACAGAGGTCCTTCTCTGACGAGGCCATTGCACACCCCAAGCTCTGGCGTAGAGAGTGGTCGCATTGCTCTTCAGGGTGGCGAGTAGAGATGGAGACGCAGAATGTGCTTGCTCCATGGTAGGTCGTGGACGCAGCCGGTAAGATGCAAGGCGCAGACGCTCTATGTACACATGTGAGCTCCTTAACTGCACCGCTTATTCTTGCTCCTGTACGACTCGCAAAGTCTTGCACACCAGAAATACCGATCCATCTTTGCCCAGGGCAGCCATCATTCAAGCGGTGCATCGATAGCTGGGTACAGTATCCTTGACGAGTGCCACTATCATCTGAGTACGTTGACAAGGTATAGCTGCCTTGGGGACGGTACAGTTTCTGACTTTTCTTCCTCCAGTACGATTTTTACTCTCTGGCACGCGGATAAATGCTATTCGACGTTCCCCACCGCAGCTTTCAATCGAGACGTGCGTCTCCGGTCATGTACGGTATCCTTGGTGACTTACACAAACATATATGTATATACATCACCTTACGTGCTTATGTGATGGGTCGGGTGCCGTCCCTGATTCCTTGATTACGACTCCAACACTTCAGTGTGTCGAAAGGCGCCTCCATACGGGTCTTCCCCGAATGTGTTCATCAATAAGAAGGTGAGTCTTCCCCTGCGTACCCTGACTTTGATGGCTTATACCATCGCATAACCATGAGTTTTACGTATGCTTCATTCGATAGAGGTAGCGGCGCCGGCTCTTCTCGTCCCAATATGACTTGCACGATCTGGCATCCCAAGAACTGCCATGTGACCTTCTCCCGGGGTGGGGATCAATCGAGAGGCGCGTCATTTGCTGAGTACGATACGTTTAATGAATGTCACTACTGCTTAGCTTTATCTCCAATGTATGCTCATCTCGGTGGTGGCAGCAGTGCCGGTCACCGTTCATCCAGTATGGCTCGCACAGTTTCCCATCTAGATCAGTGCCATTCGACTTGGAGGGGAGCCATACATTGAGTGAAATAGTCTTGATAGACTTCTCTCCCGTATCAGCATACATATCAGCTATACCTCGCTTCGTGCTGGTGCTAGTGCCTGTGTCACTTGTCCCGATATAGCTCGCACAGATCGACATTCCGAGAAGTGCCATCTGATATTCCTCCAGTGCGGCCATCAATCGAGAGGCGCGTCCTATGGCTAGTACGATATCCTCGAGGAGTATAACTATCGTCCTGATACACCTCTGAAGTATATTGTTCATGCTATTGACAGCTACGCCGGGCATACTTCATTCATTACGAGGCGCTCCGTGCGGATAGGTTTTAATCAAGATGCACATCTTTGAGTACCGTGTCCTCAATCACTCCAGTCATTGCTCTGGTCTGTACACCAGCTGTAGTTTTCAAAGTCCTGGTAATAAAAGCGGTACTGCTTCTTCGAGTACGGCTAACACAGATTGGTGTCTCAAAATGCGCTATTTTATTTTTCTCTCATGCGGCCATCTAGCGAGAGACACGTATTTTGCCGGGTACGCAACGCTTGACGGATCTAACTGCTGCATCTGTAACGCTCTCAGATACACCTGTTCTGCTATTGAGAGCTGCGCCGGTTAGGCTTCGCTCAATACGACGTGCACAGTTTGCCATCCGGTTAAGCGCCACTCGACCCTTCTTCACATCAGCCTTTCATCGAGAGTCACATCTCGGAAAGAAATGTGCGTGATGGCTGACAACATGTTCCAGCCGAGCTTCTGAGCCATACCAGCCCGATGGCAGTAGTAGCGCTGCTTCTGCTTGGTCCAGCACAGTTCACGGATTTGGTGTCTGCAGAGGTAGCAATCGACCTTACCTTACCTCGTCTCTTGCTGAGTACAACACAATTGATGGGTCACAATCTCACCTAAATATACACATAACCCAAGCTTTTGCCGCTATTGATGACAGCGCCGGCAGCGGTACATCCAAGCTCGGAGTCTTGATAAGTGCCCTTCGAGCGCTCCCCAGCACGCCCGTTAATTGAGAGATGCATTTTTTTCTGAGCAAGCTGTTCTTAAACAGTGACACCACCATCTAAGCATCCCAGTTTGCTATACTAAGACCGCTGACGGAGTTAGGGTAGGCTATGGTTGTCCAAGTACGGCTTGTGCTGTTTTGTGTGCGGAAAAGTGCCGTTCGATGTTCCCGACTGCAGTCATAAACTGAGAGATATGTCTCTTGCTGAGAGCACTATCACTCATCAGTGTCTTTACCGTTAGCGAATGTCTACAAAGTATACCGTTCACTTTGGCTGTAGCGGTGCCGACCGCGCTGCGTTCAGTAAGGTTGGTGCCGTTTGGCGTTTGGAGAAGTGCTGTTCGTGGGTTGTTCAGTGCAGTCTTCAATCAACAGACTCGTGAATTGCAAAGTACGGTATCCTTGACCACTTGTAGTGCCCTTCATTTAAATACATGTGTTGGCTTTAAGACTACTAGTCGTGGAGGTTCCAGTGATGCTCTTTGAAGTATGTCGCGAGCCGTTCGGGTTCTGCATCACTGCCTCTTGGCGTAGTCTACAGAGAACTCCAGGAGACCTTCATCTTCCTCCCCAGCAGTTCTTGGGGGGTGCCTTGCAGTAATGTCATCAGGCAGAGCCACTGTAGATATGTTGCACTGGGACAACTGGCTGTCCGTTTGAGACATCATTGCAGAGAAGTCCTTCTCTGTCCTTGTTTTTCTGTTCAGCCTCTTCTTCATCCAAGCTGACACAGAGACGGTGTCCCGTTAGGATACATCCAGCTACGCTTTCTCTTCAAGAGCCCACTGGCAGGTTCCAATACTGCAATTTAATTGAACAGAGTGATCTGGTACAGGGTCATGTCGTGCTACGGGTTTTGCGCTGAGACATATCAAGATGTATATTTCCCAAGAGGAGTCCAAGCCTGATAGCTGATGACACTGATCGTAATGGAAGACACGCTAAAGGGCCAGGCTACGGCACTTGGATGTCTAGAAATGGAACATGTCATCCCGGCGCTCAGCACCTTTCAGCCGTTCCTGATGAACCCCGATGGTCTCTCCTACCCGCTCGGACATATACGCATGAGAATCTGGCCCTACTGTAATGTCTTCAACCATTGTCTGCTCGGACAGGAGCAGGTTCCTAAGCATGGTCACCGCCGGTGGTGACACTTCCTCGTCGTCCACATCCTCGTCATCAGCCCAATCTATTCCCATTATCACCAGCCTCTTCACGGTCCCCAAGATGCGGAGCGCCCCACCAGTTGCAGACAAGGCATTGAAGCCCTGGCGCAGGAGACCCCACCCCGTGAGCCTATCAGCGCGTAGCCATTCAAGCCTCCCGGCCTCACGAAACAGAGACTGCCAGGCCGCAGGTGATGTTTCTGGCAATTTCCATGCTCTCTCACGGAAGGAAATGCACTCAACACCAGCGAATGCCTCAAATGGAATCAGCCTCTCAGGTGAGAATTCATCCGAAGCAGACTGGCCAGAATGGTTCATGCCAATGATCAGCTGGAAGTCTGGGGGAGGGGGCTCCTGGTATCCCTTCAAGTCTCCCTTGAGGTACTCGCTAGTTCCCTCACGCCAGGCCGAGAATACGATGGCCCTCGAAGATGATAGCGGTACAGGTCCGGTGTGGAGGGGTGTCCATTGATCCGACCAATGGGGCGCATATGCTAGCCATTCTGCGACCTTCATGCTCAGCAAAGGGGAGTTGATCTGGGAGAGCATGCGTCTGGCAACGGCCTCCCTAACCATGCCGGAGACGGGTTGCAAGGACGTTGCGTGGTCCCAAGCGACGAACGTCATACGAGCCGTCTGGGCAGGTACAAGCCGGCTCATTAATATGAGCACCGTAGGTGGATTGAAAATATCAATGAGCACGTGGCGGAGGTTTGGGCATATGATTTCTTTTCTGTCCTCGTGCGTGGGCACATCCTCGTCCTCAGGGACGGGCATCCAACCCTGAAATGTGAAAGACTCTAGAGCGGGTTGAGAGTGTAAGAGATCGATGATTTCCCGGGATGGCGGGACAATGAGCGCGCTGCTGGCGTTTTGGTCGACTGTGAGCGAAAGATGTGTGAGTTGGTGGACGAGAAGCCGGTGCTTCAGATCGATGATGACGTTGTGCATGTAGACATCCCGAAGGTGAGGAAAATCGGATACTAGTCTGTGTTCAGGAACCTCTGGGAGCACTATCAGGTCTTCCCCGCGGTGCTCAAAGTGCATGTGAAGCCGACGGAGAGTGGGCGGGTATAAGGCATGGAGATGGAATGGCATAGCCGTGGCATTGTGCGATCCATGAGCGAGGACACACAGACTTTCCATATGTGTCAGATCGCAAGACGCTATAAGGTCTCTCGTCTGATCGAGGGTTTCGTCCGCCCGTATGACGATTGCAACCGGACGCCAACCCGCATATTCCAGCCTCTTCCGAAACCACTTCATCCCATCCAGAGAGCTTATACCGCCATCGGCCCACAGAACCTTGTTCGCAAGGGCCTCCTCCCTCCACACATTGCAAACGAAAGAGACCTTTGTCCATGCTGGAAAGGTCGATGTCTGATGAGAGGCGACAGCTGCGTAAAGCGGTGGATTCGGGATGAGGGGCTCCAACTTCGCCAGCCATCCAAAGATGATCGACAAGATCTCGCGCGGCAAAGATACTGGCAGTTGATCGTTCTCCAGTCGGCTCAGCAGCACCCTCAGCTCCGTCATGCGTGAGCGAGGTAGACCAGCGAGCGCAGATCGGGAGACAACACCACCGAGAATATCCCTCTCAAGCATCTGGACTGGATCTGAAGAATCAAGACCCGATCGGCTTTCCTCGTTCATTCTCCTATGCAGAATGTGAACCCTCCGAAGCACACTGTGCAAAATCGCTAGGGACGCACCGCGAGACGCAAGGAAGATTTGACGAGAGATGCTGGGGAGCAGGTGCATGCCCTAAGTGCGTATTACATAACCATCAATCTCACGACCGCACGGGATCTCGGATCTGCAGAGTTACATCCCGTCCGGCCTGCCATGAGTGGCCGACAGAAATCCCTCAGTCACGGAGATCTCAGGCCACTGCGGGTTTGCATGTGTATGCAAGGATCTGCGCAAGGAAACCGGAAAGCAACGGATTGGTGCCAACAGCCTTCCCGAAATGCCTGCGAGTGAGTGTCTATACCCCGACTCTGAATTGCCAACACACCTAGGTCATTGAGGTCATGGCTACAACTATGACTGAACATCTACTCTCTCTATCTCAATCTCAATCGCTCATGATGCCGATGCTATATCGGCTTCCTCGATGCGATACATTGCGATATACGTTGGAGTGTGAGCAAATGGCCCATTATCCTGCCGGCACCACGCATCTAAAATCGCTTGTCTGCAGCTAGAGCATACTGTATCCTGTGTCTAACACACTAGGTTTGAACGGGAAGCCCATGAGGCAGAAGCATCTCCAGACCAGGTAGTCGTATCGATATGTACGCCTCTGAAGCGACGGCGTGTTCCCTCCGCTTCGATCGCGGGTGTTCGAATCTCGTTCGTGCTCAGGGCCAGAGAATGTCCGCTCGGTGCTGCGAGTCTCGGCCCCGACAATGCCGTGTGTGACGTCAGATGTGTTAGCATCAGTTGCAGAAATATAGCATGTTGCTTCTGAACCCCTTTCAATCAAGCTGATCTTATTACAAGGCCTCAAAAGCGGATACAAGAAGGAAGAATGCTCCCGAATCGTCACAGTCCCTCTGCGCGGCCCGTAATGACCTCGTTCGCTACCTGGCAAGTCATCTGACTTGCTTGTACGTCCTGCAGGCTTTGACCGCCGCGAACTCGGTCAGTGCCACCAGCAGCGGCATCTCCAAGTGACGACAGCGCTCAATATTCTTGGTCGTGTTCAGGACGCCGTCGAGGATCAGAGTCATGGGCTCACGGTAAACCTTCCGCTTGCCCAGGCAATGCAATATATCTTATAAGTCTTCGTTATAGGTTCCGGATGGTAGAGACGCGACAATGGTTGAAATGGGAGCGCCAAGTGGAAGGTCGTTGAGAAAGCGAATGTTCTGTCTGTCGGATAGCGTAACGCGTTGCAGGCCTCATAATTCGCGTAGTAGGCTGACGGAAGGGAGCGCGTGATTGAAATGGCTATCGTCAGGGTTGGAGAATACGAGAGTGTTGGTTTTGCTGCAGGGTAGTAAGGCCATGATGTCCTCCCACGACCGCGAGTTGTCATGACTGTTCATTCGGATGATAACAGTGTAGTCGTCGCGAGGGCGCATGCACAGGCGAAAAAATCATGACCAGGAAATATGGCTGCAGAAACACGAATAGTCGGGGTATGCCAAGCAGTAGGTGTCCAAACACTCTCGCGGGCAACAAGATTTGTGAACGAAACCTTGGTGCGTCAGACAGAGATGACAAAGATGGGAGTCGGAAAAATGATAACGGCGGGCGGAGGACCAACGCGTCCGCGGCCTTGCTCTGAAAAATCAGGGTATATGTTGAGAAATGCAAGGCAGTCATCTGCGCAAGAAGGCGTGCGAGTGCGGGATCCGGGTCGGTATTGACCCCTGACATCATGATAACAGTGAGCGACCGAAAGCGTATTAGTGGAACGGTACCGTCCGTGAGCATGTGCATCATGCGACGGCCACCATAACGCCAAGGTGGAAGATCAACGAACACATCCAGGAGCCGTGGATTACTGAGCGCGAGCATCTCAGCAGTAGCATTCGGCAGTCGCCCAAAAAATGCGTCCCAGAATCCCCCTCCCTCTGTACGCAAGGCATTCCCAATGCTGCTCAACATATGCATCAGTCGAATGTAACCTAAATCTCTTCATATGTCGTGATATGTTCTGTGCTCGGGAATGCAAGAAGCGGCCGCGAACGGCGCGTACGCGTTGGGATCTTCGAAGTACAGCAGTCAGTCATGTTTGAAGGGCCCGACCGTCTTTATCAACCCTGGTAAAGCAGTCGGCATGGAATGAATATACTCGCAAGAGTGGCCAGTACATCTCCTAAACTCTTTGATCTTGAGTCATTCCATCCTCTTTTACCCACGCCCGTCATGGCACTGCCTTCGAAGCACTCCTAGCGGCCGGTGAGTAGTCAAAAATATCGCAGGGATCGACCGTCACGTACTAATGGCACACACCCAGAGGAAATTGTGTCCAGTCCTTGATAGGCTAATACTGGCGGGCGGGCAGGCAGGACCATCAACACTGATGTTCTGGCACTGGGCAAACTGGTCACTCTGTGACAGAGGCTCATGAGACTGTATCAGTTAGGATTTCCCAGTGGGATGAATGCCTCAATTGATGAACATCATCCCCTGTACAACAAGTGTTTAGGGCTGTAGCGCGTGTTGTAGCGAACATAACTACAAGGCATCTATCAGTAGTGTATAGGTCCTTGATATTCATTTTGTTTTGGACGAAGAGGAAGGGAACATTGGGATGGTCAAGAGAAGGATTTA